CGGGAACTGCGGCGAAAGCGAAAAATGCAACTGGCTTCACTCAAAAATCTTTCTATATCTTTTTCGGTATTTAGGTAACACAACGCTCTACCTCACAGCGAAAGGGCCTAGTGTGGTGCAAAATGGTGCATGAATGGTTCTTCTGGTTTTAAACCCCTCCTCTAAAGGCCGCCCACCCCGAATGCGAAGAAAAAGTTGGTCTGCTTGTACTGGTTCCTTGAAAGGAACTGTGTCGATACCAAAAAAACCTCAATTACCTCCTTTACACACGAACTTGTTCGAAGTATTTTATGAGAGTGCCTTTTTTGTATGCTTTCGCTGCTCCTGTACTTTGTGTGACTGCATCCTGTCCTCGGTTTTTTGGACCATGTCCTAGACCTGAACTTGCCCTTGTGGTGCACCCTTTGAGTGCCTAAAATGCCCTTCCTGCGAATAGTTCAACTTTTTCTTCATAGACGTTTACACTTCAGCATCAGTGAAGTGCATATCGCTTGCAATTCAGCAGAGAATTACCTCACATCATGCGTGCTTTATATCTCTGCTTTGAAGCGAAGCAAGTGGAACAACGACCCCTTTTGCAGTGCGCCATGCCTCCGATATCCATTGGAAAATAAACGTCATTTGAATGGGCATTTCACCCCTACCTTAGGCTGCTGTGATAACAGAGCGGTTCGGGGCGTCCGGAACGCGTCGTAGCGCTTAATCCAACTTTCCTGGATAGTTGACTCAACATGACAATTTGGCATCAAACCGTGTCGAAGGAAGCAGTTCATTATTAGTGAGTCCCCTTGAAATGAGGCCGTCGAATACACGCTATAGAACGTCGGCTAACATACCTAATAAATCTGACGCTACATTTGACGCGAACCTGATAGAGCTCATATCATCGCAATCACTGGGGCGGTGCCAGGAGAGGCGGAACAAATCCACCCCGGCAGTGTTATCTACTAATAGAAATCCGTTGCTGATCGAATCAGGAGGAAACAACCAGTGGTGAAATTAGCGCGAAAAGGATCATTCATTGTCTTGACCACTCCATATCCCGAAAATAAAAAGGGCGTGACAACGTGATTCAACTGAATGGCGGTAGGATGCATTGTTCGTAGAACTCCTTCCAGTGGGACAGTGGCCATCTTGCCTTATGCTTGGGCATGATGAATGATTACAGTTAACCCGCAATATCCACTCGAACTGCAATATCCACTTGAGAGCGCAGCAGCGAAAACGGCCAAATGATGTACGCAGCCACGCCCTCCCATCTCCGAGATATGGAGCGGTTGTCGAACCAACTATCTAGGATTGCTAGTTGGCCTTGGACAGCTGCGCTTGTGGGTGACCGACATTTATCGACCTAGAAGATTTTTTTAATCAACTGTGTCATCTCCAGAAGAAATGATGGCTAGCATGGGCGGAATCCCGAAGCGAAACCT